TTAGCTTCCATTTTTTCATTTCATCGTTATTTATTGTGATGCTTACGTTTTTTGATTTTTTTATTCGACGTCTCACAGATGTAGAAACATCTCAACGTGAAAATGAAAATGTCAGATAAGAATAAGTTCCCCTTGGAAATTCTGAAATTTCAAATGCATGAAAAAATCTTAGAAACTGTCCGGAAATTGTTTCATAAGTTGTGTGAATCAAACAAGTTCACTAATATCTAAGAAATTTACAGTTTGTAGAGATTGCTTTTCATAATGAGAAAGTCTTACTAAAACTGTAATATCATTCTAAGCAATACTAACTCGTAGGAAATCAGTTGCAAATCACCGGTTTAGGTGTTGTGTGCAATAGAGCGATTGCGTTATGCAAATCTTGTTTGTCTTGTAGTGAAATTCGATAAAATAGTAAATTAAAAATGAAAGGAATTTCTCAAAACTTCCAATTAAAAAGTGATTTCCGATGTATGATAGTTGTAGTTCTAATTCTTGCACAGTGAAATTAAAATGGTAAATTTATATTATGTCAAATATCATGAAGATAACAAATGGTAGGAGTCGCGCTCATATTTTGAGTACCAGAAACGAGTCATAATTTAATAAAGATTATCCTCAATTATTTCTTTATTTCATTTTAGTGTATTACTAAATTTTTTCTTCTAGTGTATTACTAAATTAAATATTCAAGTTAGTCTCTTCGTTGCTATAAATTGCTTTTCAATTCTTGCCTTTAAAGCTCATATAGTCACCAGCTCATCAATCTCCTGATTTCCTTCTACTGTTAAAAAATCATTGTCCTTTTGGAAAAGCTAAAAATCTTAAAATTTTTAACAAAAAAGAAAGAGACTGAGGATGAATTAAGGAAATAATTGATTTCAGATTTACAGGTTTTTCAAAAGAGTTATGCGTATTTGTCCTGCTTTAAAGATTTTCGGCTACTTTTGCAGGAATCATGCAAAAAATTTACTAAAATCTTAAACTTTTGAAGTATCATTTACACCATAGATGTACTTGTTAAATTGATTCCTGGTGGCTTTCCTAGAAGTCTAATCAATTTTTTCACTCTCCTCATTGATGGCCACATGATTAGTTGCTTTTGTCACTATTTAACATATTGTCATTCAAAGGGCAACATGCTGGAAAATTGAAATATCTGCTGATTTATCGATACGGTTTGAGAAAAATGTGGTTGACTGTATGTTAAGTGATTTTTACATTTCGTTGCATTTTCACCAAATAAACTGGATTTCCTAGATTTCACGATTATCTAGTTCTAATCATGATACGTAAGAAATAATAAATTCTCATTTTATAAAATTTTCAGAAAAACTTTGCTAAAACTTTTTGTACACATTTTATAACATTTTCCGCATTCTTAAATCTCAAAAATTACTATTCCCAAAATAGATGAAAGGAAGCTATAGATTGAATTTCTTAAGGAAGCTTAAATTGGTTTGTCTGAGAGGAGGATAATGATGTTGGTGATTGATATTTCAATGGTATCAGCTACACTTGTAGGTGTAAGTATCACCTTACTGCTTTGTGTAGATGACTGATTAGTTTGTGGATTTATTTCATTTTGGAATCGTAAACAAGGTAAGCAGCTGTAAGCGAGCGGCATATGTTATCAGCACTTATTTGTTAAAATGTTTAAGAGCTCGCCTTTATATTGCAATGGATCGTCAGCAATAGATTAGTAGATATGGAACAGTTGTGTTCGTTGATAAAGTAGTACGGTGCTCTATTGACATTCATATCTATTTGTCCCCCACTGAATCATCATTTCTCTTATTCCGAGAAAAACCATCATCTAAAATTTCTTGACCACATCATTAAAAGCTAAAAAATACACTTTTTGCCTTTATGGTAATTTTTGCCCATTCATGGATATTATCTTTCCTAACTTAATAATGTTTTGAGTATAGTAGAAAATGTACTACTCCAGTGTTGTCTCTTTTGATATTTTATTATTGCTGGTATCTATTATAATATTTGCGACACCTCTCATCAAGGTAAAAACATGCTTGATAATCATTGCGGTGATATCATAGATTAATTATATAATTTGATTAGTCTTTGTGCTATTCGATCAGGCAACAGCATCGTAAATTAATGATGTGATTACTTTCATAATCTTGCTAAAAGTTTCTTTTTCATCTGAAGTGAAATTGATGATAGGAAGATCTCATTAAATTTTCTTCGCTCTGCTGTATTGAATGTAAAAAAGAGAGATATCCATCTCATAGAACATTTTTCACCCATCAGCTTTTTCAAACGTATACAAGCATTTTTCATCATTTCATCATCAGCAGCACATTCAATGAACTTTCTCTTCTTCTTCCTTCAGTTTTGTGTGTACTTGTGTATTCTTTTTAACAAGGTTCAATTCTTTTTTGAAAATTGCTTTACCCTCCAAAGGTATGGGGATGATAAGTTATTTTGGAACAATATCCATTAATCTTTGCCATTTTACGTTTATTTAATAAAAACTTCCGTAATGCTCATTTTCACCTATTTTTCTGAAAGATGAGTTCAAATTTTTTTAATTGGAAGAGCAAGAAATTCATATGCTTAAGAAAATTTGGAACAATTTCACAACAATTAAATTTAACAACGTACATTTACCTCGATTTTCCAGTATTTCGTGCAAAGTGTGCCGATATTATGCAGTCAAACAAAACCTTGGAAACTGGGTGGTCGAGATATTGTCGCAGATTCGAAGGGCTTCATTTTACTAGTAGTATTAATGCCCATGCAATGCGAACATTGCCACAAACAGCTGATGAAGTAAATTTATTTTTGAATTTCTTCTTAATGGAAGTCTTTTGAAGTTTTGTAGCATTCCATTGCAAGACCGTTTCCTTTTGTCAAATTGAAATTCCTTTAAGAATATTAAATTATAGATTCCAAACAATAATGGAAACACTGCCGGAAATAAGGATTGTTGTTGTAGCTCCACACGATGAGAATCCACGTTTGATCGAGCGCTATCGAGAAGAATTCTCTCGTGTTGCAGTCGGTTTGGAATCGTTGAATGAGCGAATTTGGAACACGCTATCAGGAGCTGCCCACGATCATTTTATATATGATCGGTAAAAAATCTACGGTTTAATATTGAGTTTTCTTCAGTGTTTATCCTTAGAAAATCACTCTGTTTTCTAAACTTCCTGGCACCTTAGTTCGTGAGACGTTGATAAAGTCGTTTGTGATCTCCGTAAATGGAAATATATTGCTTAGAAAGATTGTACTATCATTTTCTATTTCAATATTTTCAAAGTTATTGTAGTAAGCATTTTCAGATGCGGTCGTCTAGCCAACATTATTCGCCATCCAAAAAGTGATATGTCAAAGTTTGAACATACACTTTGGGCATTAAAATTAGCTATTAGCTATGCGCAATGTGGCTGGTGCCAGTATGATCCACCTCACCTGCCGGTACCTCAGAAACCTATCGTTACAGCCTGTGCTTCCTTTACGCACAATGGAAATACAAAAATGCCCGTAAGATTTTCCGAAATTATAGATTTATTATTACTATCGAAAAATCAGTATGATTTAAAATTCTTCATAAAACTTCACAAAAGTTTGTGCAGTTCAAATGACTTGGAATTAAAAATGGTTAATTGAAATTAGGAACAATAATGAAGTTCAATTTCAATAAGTTGTAAAGGGAAAGTAGAGGAGTATATGCCACTGAGAACATAGCAAGCGGTTGGTGCAGCACTTTAAAAGGCAACGGCAATTAAAAAAGAAGAATGCGGAAATCTTTAACCATTCTGTGGCGACCGGATCATCTACAAGAGACTTACTGTAAATGTTAAAAATTTTTTTTGAATATTTGAAATACCAAAGTGCCTTAAGTTTACCTTTGCCATGTCAACTAATAAGCTAGGATAAATGTGTCTGTAATCTTTAACTGGAAACTATTATTTCATGATTTGGAAGTTAGATGAAATCGCTTGCAGTTTGAAGAGATAAAGAGTGTGGTGTTTGAGGAGCAATAAAAGATTTTAGACATGGACTAAACTAGTGAGATTTATCATCAGTAAGAGTTAAAGTATCGGTGTGATTACGACAGAAGGAAGATAATTAAAATGATATATACATCCGCGACTGAAGCGACGACAGCATGACAAGAAGCACTTGAACAGTGCAGGCAGAATCAATCTATCGACTATAACGAACTATAACGCAAATATTATGTCGTCATTTTTGTCTCAGATTAGTTCGAAAGGCTTGGTATTGGAGAAAGAAACAATGAAGATAAAAGTTCGATATCGATGGTGGAGGATACATGTGTTACATTTCTAACGGTCTATTTAAAAAGTTAAACGGTGATAAGCCTTTTAAAGATAAAATTGACTACATTTTTCGCATATTATGGATGTCACCTTTATGGTATGTCTGTTGATTGGAAGCAGTTACTGTCCTGTATATCCAAACATAGCTGATTCAACACAGAACCAGAAAGCGATAAAAGGTGATCAGTTGATTGTTGAAAGAGCCAGCTTTATCAGTTAAATTCTGGGCTTAACAATGTGATTTGCACTGATATGAGCAAATTGGATTGGAGTTTGAGGGTATATGAAGATATCGAGGCTATATGTACTATATGTAAATTTAAGCAGATACACATAACATTTATTTCGAACGTTATCTAAGAAACGAAATAAAAAGTTCGCCGGTACTGATTGGTGAAATTATATATTCGATTTATGATATGAAAAAATGAACCCTAAAAGAATTATTGAATTTGTTTTTTGTAATGGAAGATGCTGTTAACCGATTCAATAAATAATACTTTGATAAATTGGATGAAGAAAATTGAATAAGTGATAAGATAAATGTGGAATGAGAAAAATATGATTAATTGAGCATTCACGATCAAATAATTCAATAATGTCGAACAGATTATAGCCACAATTGCTGTTTACTCTATTCAGCTGTCTTTAACGAACGGAAGAATGCCAACTTATTCTTCGTGTTCAATTTACTATTAATGAAAACTGTTCATTAATATTATAAAAAGATTTGATAACATTAAAAGGAACACACAAGTATATTTTTATCAAGGTGGAATAGAAGAAAAGACCGAATCACTATTAATGATCAACTTTTTTCATTTCTTTAATGCAGTTATTAATCGTTATATAAATATACTGATTAATGGAATTGTGAAGGAAAAGATATTGATTGGAGAACACAATCATTTGCAGATAAATCTCGGCTAGAAATATTAGCAAAGAATGATTGATTTGATTTAATAGTTTTTAACAACAAGAATGGGAAAATTAGGTGATTATT